CATCATCACCATCTCTCTTTTCCTAAAACCACCATAGCCAAAAGCTTAAAAGCCTAAATCGTTCAAGTTCAGGGCTCCCGAAATTCCAATCTCGGAAACCGTCTCAGCCGAATTTGCCTTCCCAAGAAATCCTGCCTTCCGAATTCCTTAATCACTGAAGATTCGGAGATCCGAAATCTGGTCTACCGAGATCTCATCCGAAAATCGGGCCTCCGAAATCCTTCTAGTTTATTGGGCCTTCGAAATCCTTAAGATGACCCGAATTTCCTAAACCCTCCGAGATCCCAATCCAAACTCCTATCATCCGAAATCCCTCTATCCGAAATCATCCCAAAACCGGGCCTCAGAGATCCTATGCCGAAATCCCAATCTCGAACCATACTCCCCGAAATCCTAACTCCCGAGATACTACCTCCAAAATTCCCCCAACCGAAATCTAAAACTCGAGCATCTGAAATTCTATCTGAAAACTTACTCCCTAGATCCCATACCCAAGCTTCCTTCCTGAGATTCTAAGGCCCAATACCAAACAACCAAGCCCATTTGATCCAATAAGCCCAAAGCCCAAATCAGCTTAGCCCAAACCCAAGTTCTCTAATCTTAAGTGTTTATCTGTGCAATTCAGGTAATGGCATTCTTATCTGAGGAGGGAGTGTACCCAAAGGAAAACTGGATCGATACCAAAGATAACAATCATGTGCTGGATCCCACCACCTTCAAATGCCAAGATAAAATGATGATCTTCATACTCAAAGGGCATCCATTATGGCCAGCACTCACACTTCTGCCAGAGCCCCGAAAATCTATCTGAGACAACTCTCGGGAACCATGCACACCACCACTGATCCCATTCTTACTCTCAAAGCCACATTAGCCAACACCACCATCACTAAAGATACATTTTGCACCCTCCTCCACCTACCTATATCATCTGAATATGACCCATTCCCAGATAATCCAATAATCTTCTCCGACATGCTCAAAATAGGCCATCTACCTCCTCTGACCTCATCCTCTCAATTCATAAGAAACAAGTTGCCCAGACCGTAGAAAACACTCTTTGGAATTCTCAAAAAATGTCTATCTTCCAAACAAACAGGCCACGATCAATGCAACATCCACATTCTGACGCTGGTCCACGGAGTGATGTTTTCATAGAATTATGACTGGGCACAGCTCATTTGGCTCGAAATCCTAGAGCAACTGAACACAAGGGCATCGAACAAAAAGACCAAGTTCATCCCATATGTACGTTGGTTCTCAATTCTGATCGACCATTTTATAAAAGAAGATGCCAACATTCCACAAAGGCCACCAACAGAGCTGCAAGCGATTCCTCAACTAATCCACTTCAAGAACGTTGACAATACTCCTGAGATGTGGCCAATGCGAACAAAACCTTCCGCCTCACCTTATCCAAGTACGTGACATCTTAGCCCTCACCCCACCTTATATTCAATCCACCTCTTTCCGTGATCAAGAACGTTTGCCTAAGCGTAAGCATGATGACATCGATGATTCGGATCATCATGAGGGAGAGAAAAGGTAACGTACTTATGAGAAAACCACCTCACAATCCATCATTCTATCAACCACTTGCTCTGAACCATCGACATCATCTCAGCCTGAACCCTCCTCGACCGCACCCAATGACTCACTAGCCTTAACCGTTTTTTCCCTTCTGAGCCCATTAACACTTAGCAAGGACTTTGTGTCCTCTCGAGAACTTCTATAGGCTCATCCTTCGTGGATGTAGACCAAGGATTGGAAGGAAGTCCTGACAATGCAACATATGAATCACCATTGTTTTCAAGCCATCAGAACGAGTTCACCTCTAGTATGATGAAAATGGTAAGTCTCTGTGACTCCGGTGTTGCATTACCCACATCTGTCCCTCCGGTTTCCACTTCATGAGTCCCACAGGTTGCAAAGCCTAGATCTGCTCCCACTTCATCAATCTCTCAATCTGATCAACCATCCTCATCATCAAGAAAGAAAGCGTGAAAGCAAAAGGAAAATGAACTCAAAGAGAAAGCTGCTGATTTGATATTGCTTGAATGGGTAGAAGACAATGAGAAAGATGAACTTCAGAAGCTGAACAACGTTAATGCTCTCAAGAAGCTGAATTTCATTCGAGAAGTTAAGAAGACATCTGCTGAAAAGCTAATGGGACTTGAACCAGAGGAGTATGCTCAAGAAGAATTTTACGATGATCCACTTCCTGATTTTCATATAGTCAAAGATCTGATCAAGACGCGCCCATGTGATTCCAAGATAGAAGACAAGTTTGAGACACCATGGAAGAACGCCAAGATAATTGTGCCATACCAAGAAGATCTGAGACCAAGGATTTGGAGAAGTGAGAAAGGAATCAAGAATATAGACGAACTTGAGCTAAGAGGACTTGAACATTTGAAAGGAACCGACGCCTCCGGTCAAATATGGATGCTGAGAAATATGTCTGCTAATCAGAATGACCCATATGGACACCGAAAAAGATTGGCCAAGAATGCTGATTCTCCAATCATAGGGATTACAGCTATAGAGATTCATAACATTGGCAGAACATTCTATCCGATCTATGTGTTTGAACGAAAGAACGGGATGATCCAAAGAGCATCTGAAGCTGATTTGTACTACGTTGTTGAGGAAGATCTTATTCAGTTATTCTAGGAGTACAGATTCGTCAATTTTGGATATCTATCTCAAAAGGACAAAGAGCTAGGGCTAAATGCACTCAAGAGATTCATGATGAGACAAGTCAAATATTTTTCTCTCTTTGATCTGCAAATGGCCATTGAAAACAATCTCACAAAAGTGAACATGACTGCTCCAAGGAATAGAGCTAAATGGATCGAGAATTTAGAAGAAGGCACCATCGCAACAGAAGCAGAGATATGACTCATCTACAGAGACTACAAAGGCATCAAGCGAATCCTACTCAAAGAAGAAATTCATAAATACTGTGATGGAACGCTTAAAATCATTGAAGACCATCTGGGAGAAGCTGCGATCGAGCTACTAAAATCCAAGAATCCAGATGACCCGATCCAAATTGCTCTCATTACAGACTTTGTCGAAGCCATAAGACTCATACTACAATTTAGAAGACATCTCAGACATTATGAAGTCATTCTAGGCTATCGAAAGTCATTGTCAAAGATTCAAAGATAAATTGTGCTTCATCGAAGATTGAACACAAAGGGGGAGAATGTTAGAATAATTATTTATTGTGTTCAATTTATTTGTAATTAGTTTGTTTAGCTGAGAGAGAATTAGACCTGAATTGAATGCTCTACATAGCCCACACGCACGGCCCACTTAGTTTCCCAACTGTATTAGGCGGTTCGAACCACTCCCTATAAATATAGACTGAGATGGCCGAATCTGCTCTCTAAGTCTCTACACATTACATTCCGCATATTATTCTCTGTAGAGCCAGTTGAATAGAAATTCTCTCCATAACTTATTCATTCGAGTATTGTGTAATTGTTCTTCATGGATTCATCATTCTATATACACGGTATACATTATCGATGAAATTTCTCTTCTACTGTTTAAATTCTTTATATTATTCTTAAATTATTCGACTATTGTATCTGGGCATAAATCTCACATTGTTTCTTCAAATCATGTTGAAGAATTGAAACGTGTTAGCCACTCGATGCCTTTCTCTCCCAAACTTCTCCAAGTCTCGATTGGTATGCCATCTGGACCCACTGCTTTCTTCCGTCCCATTTTCCTCATAGCCCCTTTAACTTCTGTTTTTTGAATTCTTCTCACGAAGTCACGATTTACCATACACTTTGGTATAGTAAGATCATCAATACCTTGCATTTTATTCCTGTTGAACAAGGTATCAAAGTATAACCTCCACCTCTCTTTTATTTTCTCGTCCTCCATTAGTACCCTTTGATCAAAATCCTTTTCACACTTAACTGTTTCGATATGTTGAGTCCTACGGTCACGAAGGTGAGCAGGTTTGTAGATATCTTTTTCTCCTTCTTTAGAGTCTAATTTTACATACAATTCCTTGTTCACTTTTCCTCTAGGTTCCTTCACAGCTTTCTTTGCTCTTCTCCTAGCCTCCTTGTACTCCTCTAAGTTCTCGTCGCTCCGACTTTTGCCCAATTTCTTGTAGCATTCCCTTTTGGTCCTTATTGTTTGTTTCACCTCATCATTTCACCAAAGCGTGTCCTTTTTGGTGTCAAACATCCTTTAGATTCTCTGAGTATATCCTTCATCACTTTGTTAATGGTGGACTCCATTGATAACCACACATCATCCACATGTGCGTCATTATCAATACACCATACATCTTCCCCAACATTTTGTGTGTAAAACTTTGTTGACATCTGCATATGTATAAAATTTAAAAGGTCATTTTACATTTATGCTATTCTATTTAGAATATAAATAATTCACTCCATTAGTGTGCACATACAGTGCGTATCCATCGGTTCAATTTTCATTCCAGCTTCAGAATCAATAATTCTTAATTTTGAATGTAATATTTTGATTTTGGATTATAGGTTAACCTCGTAACCGTAACCGTATCATGTACCGTTTTTTCTTTCAATTGGTTAACCGTACTGTAAGATTTTAAAAATACGGTATGTTTAATTGGAAAAAACACCCGTTATTCGCTTTTTTAATACAGTTAATCGGTTACAGTTTTTCATGCCCACCTCTAATGATGTGTACAATGCACATGTGGCATAAGAGATATGTACATAAATATTACTCCCTCCGTTCCTATTATAACTTCCAACCCTCCTTTTTGGTCCGTTCCAATTAAAACTTCAACTTTCCCTTTTTGTTAAAGAATTTGTGGTTCTTAAATTGTGTGCCAAACCTATTGTAAGTTATAATAGGAACGGAGTTAGTAGTAAATAAATTATCTCTCTCCTTATTTTAGTGATTTTATACAATTTTGGTAAGTTTTTATCTACAATGTCAAAAAGATCGTCTAGATGTCAAAATTTTATAATATGAAGTCATCGGCTTCCGTAGTCCAACAATGGCCGCCATAACTCCAACTGCCAGTCCCCTCCACTTGCCAGCTAAGGCTCCTCAGGTTCGGATTTTCGTTGCGGGCTCATACTCAATTCTCAGGGTCAAAAACTCCGGCTTGTGGTCGCCTAAGATCCGAGCCGTATCCAGAAAGCTTCCGTCTCTTGAAGCCGTTAGGTGCTTCACAAAGTCTGCAGAGGAAAACGGACCGGATAGTTTGGTCAGTGATGAGGAGGTTAGGGAAGAAGACAATGAGGTAAAATCGCAATATGCCTCCGTTGATGCGATTCGTCCCGACTTCTCCGACAGTTCACCCATTTCAAAGACTGGCATCGGAGATTCTTTGTCCCTCGGCATTCGTGAACCTGTTTACCAGGTCTTTTACCGTAAAATATTTTTATTTGTGTTTCATCTAATTTATTTATGGATCACATATGAGACCGAACTTCATTCGACACAAGCTAACAGTAATCAGAGCATCTGCATATGCACTTCGATGCATCATATTAAATTGTGGTCGAAGTTATGTTCTTTATCTGATTTCAATTGATTGCAATTAACGGCTAATGCTCTGCAATGACTTGGTTTCTTTGAGTTCTGAAGGTAGTGGAAGTAAAGTCAAATGGGGTGATTTCATCAAGGAAAATAAACAGAAGACACCTGCTGAAGTCAAGTGGTGCGTGAAATTATCTCTATTGTACGGTTTTCTGCATTTTTGTGTAATTATATAAATTTAAGTTCAACAACCCATCTCGGAGTTTCTTTATAAATAAGTATTTTTTTAAATTTTATTTTCCTTCTTGGTGTTTCTTGTGGCTATGATCAAAACTTCATATTGTTTGCCATTTTATTGAACTATCATTTCCCTGAAACCTTCTACATAGTATATTATAACGTTATTCATTGATATTCCATATCTGTCTCTGGTTGCTTCTTGCTTGGCATCTGATCCAAGAATGTGTTATCACCCGCAGGCCTCCGCCCTAGAGATATACGAAGTGTTGATCCTTCATTGTGGTTAATAAATTCCATGCCTGCTTTACTGGTAAGGAACTAGTTGTGGGTATTGCATGTTTATAGTGGATGAAATTTCTTCTCGGTTTACTTCCAACAACATATCTTTCATGAACACATGAGATATGTTCACATGGATTTGGTGAAGGTCCATCCGACTACATAACTTCACCTTCTTTATGTTCACTTGTCATGTTTTCTGTTTTCTTCTTCAGAAGTTCGGATAATCCAGTAGCTCCTCCTATGGATATTAATTATTTGCTTAGACTCTAGTTCCTTGTTCCAGGTGCGTGAGCATGCAATTCTACTGAACCTGGGATCTTTGCGGGCCATAGTAATGCAGGAAAGTGTTCTTATATTCAACTATAACAGGTATACCCCTGCTAGATGTGCCTAACAAGTTGTGTTTAATAGGAGTCAGCGGTTGTACGAAAATTCACATTTCACTTTTGAATGTTTCACAGTCACGGAGGAAAAGCTTTCATAGATGCATTGTTACCTCGATTAAATCCTAAAAACATGAATGGAGCACAATCAATGCCGTTTGTGCTTGAGGTTGGTCTCTCATTCCAAGGACATTGACAAAAACTGGAAAAACTGGAATACATACAATTATACTACGTACATGTTTTTGCTTCTAAATTTACATCTGTAATTGGCCTTTTTAGGTGGTTGAAGCAGCCTTACATTCAAGGATACAGCGATTGGAGCAGAAACTGTGGAGTTTGGAACCTCGTGTGAGTTGAGTTATACTGATGCACAGTGAATGAGTGTTTGTTTGTGTGCCTGCTGCTGAATAAATTATGCTGACTCCATCCAAAAAGAGCCTTTTTCAAGAACTTTTTGTCCCAAAGAAAGGAAGCCTGGTTTTAAAAGTCATCTTTAATTTTTGAAGTAAAATTTGCTATAAGCCATACACAGCAAGCAGTTTTAGTCAATTACTCGAAACAATCTTGGAACAAGTTTTACCAGCATAGACACCTGTAAATATGCCTTGAATCTGATCACACACTTATTAGGGGTTACCTTTTGACTCTATATAATTATATATACGCACTGTGTGAGCCATATATACCAACACAGCGTTGGTGAGCCACACTAAATCAGTCTCTTTTTTACATTTTTCATATTTTTGTCACATGACGATCCGTCATAACCGCCACCATTTATAACTTGTAAAAGCTTGTACCTTGATTAAGTTGACTAAAATATAATGTTTGTACATTACTCAAACATGCCTCTTTTTAATTTGATAAAAGGAGTAATTAAAGTGTCTTTTCTATGCAGGTACAATCTTTACTTGAGGTTTTGCCTAATAGATTGACTGCTGATGTGTTAGAGCAGCTCCGAATTAGCAAGCAATCATTGGTATGCCATTTGACTATATTGTCTACAGCATAACCTGTCAGCTGAACATACACAACTAAAGCCTCTGTTCCACATATCCTTTTGGTTGGAAGGTTGAGTTAGGTTCCAGAGCAGGCTCTCTCAAACAAATGTTGCTTGATATTCTTGAGGATACTCATGAAATACGTCTTATCTGCATCATGGGTAGAGATTGTACCCTGAAGAAGGAAAATGATGAGATGGAATGTGTTGTTCCCCTTGAAAAGCAGATTGTAGAGGGTATGGGAATTTGAGCCCTCATTACTGATAGCTTGTGAAGTTGCAATCTGTGATATGTTTGTTAAAGATATCCATCCAATACTCTTCAAACGGTTTTATTTTGCAGAAGAGGAGGAGGAAATTGAAATGCTTTTGGAGAACTATCTTCAAAGGTTATTTATTGGATGTGTTTTCATCTTTTCTGCGATGTACATTTGCATGTCTAAGCAATCATTATTGTGCATTCATGGCCCAAGTGTGGCTTCAATATATAGACCTTGATATTTGCCATCTTGAACCACTGTTTTATAGGTATATATAGGAAAGTACGTTTGCACGTGAACGTCTAATCAATAATAGAGTTATATACCTTGATTTATGCCATCTGGATTCACTTATTTATAGGCGTGTATAGTAACTGTTCAATAATCAAGTACTAGGATAATATACCTTTAGAATATTCTATACATTAATCCAGCCAATGCTTCAATGAATCAGTTATCAAATTCAAATCCTTTATATTGTCTTTAATGGAACCCTAATATTATTATCATTTTACTTCCAAGTACTGTTTCATTGTTTGTTGAAATTTAGTGTTAGCATAGCTCTAATGGGTTAATTACTACATATAATTGGGAAGTAGATGTGTCAAGCATATGGAAGACTGTATTAAAAAAACCATTAATTGCAATGAGCATTGAGGAAAATTATCATCCCGTGTTGTGCATGCAATTGCGAACTCATAGAATCAATTTAGTGCTGTATGACAGTAACAGAAAAAAAACGTTCCATGAGAAGTAAATCTTCAGGGTAACATCTTATTCATTTTAGATGCACCTTGCATTGTTTTATGCAAGTAATAATTACCCCTTTCCCAAAAAGCACCAAGTTCTGGTCCACTATAGTCAATATTTTCAATTGCATTTCTATTCATGATCATTTTTAGTTTTAAGAGCAAACAATTTTACAAATTGTGAAGTATATGAACTACTGATTTTATTAATATGAATCTTAATATAAAAGAACTATACAAGCAGCTATATTTATAGCTAGAATGAGGCATTAGGGTTTCTATACAAGTTGAGCTAATCCCAATACAACTAGGGTTTCAACACATATGAAGTAAACTGTGTAGCCTATATTGCATAAAGTTCTTACGGACCTTATTGTAGCTATAGCCCTTCTGTGTATAAACTTAAGAGAAAAATCCCTACATAGGACCAAAACAAGGGACAATTCCTCAAATAAGACCACCATTGTTTTTTGGGAACAAAACACAGTTAGTCCTATTTGTGAACTTAGTCCATGTTTTATTCCTATTATGGGTTCTTTATCGTCATATCTATTGTAATTCCATGCCAGCTGCATTCTACTTAACCATCATATTTTTGGAGATGCAGATGTGAATCTTGTCATGGTCAAGCAGAAAGGCTACTTGATTCTGCAAAAGAAATGGAAGACTCGATTGCTGTTAACCTGAGGTTCATAGATCCTTTAAGTTTTCCTGATTCTTTAAGCTCTTAAGTATAAACATGGTTTGAGACCTCGATTCCTCTTCATGTTCCATTAGCAGTTTTTGTAAATGTGTAGCATTTTTATTGGAAGCAAGTGTTTCCTTTTTGCGAAGATAGAATTAAAAAGTGAGAAAAGTGAATCAAGCTTGAATAGGAAGAAAAGTTTGTTTTGTCCCCAAAAGGTTCATAGATATTTTAAGTTTTCCTGAATTTTTAAGCTCATAAATATACACATGGTTTGAGACTTTGAGTTGTCCACATGTTCCATTAGCAGTTTTTTTAAATACACAGCATTTTGTTGGAAGCATGTGTTCCCTTTTCGTGAAGAGGTTAGAAATAAAAAGAGAGAAAAGTGAATAAAGCTAAAAGTCACTCCCCAAAACTCGAATGGGAAGAAATGCTTTTTTTGCCCTGCCTCAAATATACAGGGAAAAAGTTTTTTTTTAACACAACTTCATGCCAAGTAATTAGTTTACCAAGCAATACGAGCAAGCAAGAAAAAATGTGGGATGATACTTGCATTTAGATATAAATATATATATTAAGAATTTGCCCTAAATAAGAGTAAAAATGTTTTTAATTCCAAAATATGACTGCCATGTTTTTATTCCCTAAATAAGACTAATTACTGCCATATTTTTATTCCCTAAATAAGGCTAATTACTGCCATGTTTTTGGCATTAGCATACTTTAAACATGGTGGTATTTTCCAAGCTTGAGAGTAATTACTCCTATTGAGGGAATAAAAACATGGCAATCCTATTTTGGAATTACAGAATGTTTTCACTCCTATTTCGGGAATTTTCCCTTATAAATTTCAATTGTTATATGCAGAAACTTAGGATCTGTTTGGTTGGAGGGAGGGAAATAGAGTCGAACTAAGGGAGTGGAAGAATGAGAGCAAATAAGTTGGAAACTTCCACACACATGTTTGGGTGAAAGGAAAATTAGGAAAGGAAATAGAAGAATAATGATATATTTTGTTTGTTTGGATGGAAAACTGATATTAAAGAAATTTAAATAACATATTCATCCTTGAGGTATTAAATAAAAGGTAAAAATAATAAAAATACTCCAAACTTTGATGGGGTGTGAAGTAAACACCCCAAACTTGTGTATGTAATTTAAATACCCCAAACTTTATATAAAAAGTTATTTTCGCACCATTGTTATGTATTATTTCTTTCAAAAATGTAAATTTATGGGGTTAATTGCATAATTTAAAATAGCAAATTAAAAGTGTTGCAATTATATAGATTGAGGATAACATTATTTATTTTGCAATGGAAGTTTATAATGTTAATTGTGTCTTCATGAATTCTAAAATATTTAAAATTATGCAATTAACACCATAAATTTACATTTTTGAAAGAAATAATACTTGACTTAGGTGCCAAAATAACTTTATATATAAAGTTTGGGGTATTTAAAATACATATGCAAGTTTAGGGTGTTCATCTCACACCCCTTCAAAGTTTGGGGTATTTTAGTTATTTTTCCCTAAATAAAATATGTAAAATTCGTCAAAATTTATAGTCAAGAAATATTGTCACACGTGTAACAACCTTTTTGTGCAATGTGAATTATCTAGGGTTATAAATCTCTTATGAGTTCAGCAACAAATTTAAATATACGTTATGTTTGGACTTGAAAATAAGAGAAGTATAAGCCTTTTCCGTTCCCTTTCTGCCCAGTTGTGGATAGGGGAAAAATGTGGGACCCACAGTTGTTTAAATACAACTTATTCCTTTCTCTCATTTCCTTACTACCAAGCAATGGTAAAGATACTTTCTATGTCATATCTCTCCCTCCCCTTTCTTCCAATTTTATCCCAAACAAACACAAGTTCAGCTGTATACATTGGAATGGAATGGCAGTGTTCTAAAATATTCATTATTGAGCTCAAGGAGGTGGACCTTGGGCTATTTGTATGAAAATGAATGTTTCCAACACCGTACATACACATGTGCGTATGGGATGTGAATGTGTGTGTTGATTGTGTTCCCAAATAATCAGTATGGGGTGTGAGATTTTCCCCATCACAGGTTTAAAGTCCAACCAATAGACTGCTTTTTTTATATGTTTTGTAATAGAAAATGCTTGTACTAACTGCTGTAATAAGTTTCATGTACATTTTAGCTCAAGGAGGCTTGAAGTGAGCAGGGTGGAATTACTCCTGCAGGTTGGGGCATTTTGTGTTGCTGCTGGTGCTTTAGTATCAAGTAACCCTTGATTTCAACTTTTGGTGTTTATACTTTGTCAGAACAATCTATATGTGTTTGTTTTTTCGTAATGTGGAAACCACTTTGTTAACAAATACTCTCTCTGGCCCCAAAAAAATCATGTTTGAGTAAGGTACAACTTTTATTTTCAGTCATCTCAAGTAAGGTAAGCTTTAAAAATTTACTCAGTATGAGTTATCAGTTTTCATGTGTGTCCCTAAAATGTATTTCCAAGATTGTTTAGAGTAATAAAAATCTCTAGCTGCTGGCTTACATGAATTTTACTTATTGTCGACTTTTTAAAACCAGACTCCTAGTACATGACTTTTTTTAGGACGGAGAGACTAGAGAGTAGTCAGAGTACAAGGTTTGTTCCATAGATATTTTAATTTCACACACTAAGCTACTAGTATAGCTGATCCCCTGCTTGTGCTCGTATGCATTAGGGGTCGTTTACATGTGCCTTTGTTAGAAAGCGTTTGCAAATGCTTTTTAGTTTGGTTTTATGCAAGCAGCTCTACTCAAAAACACCTAAAAGTGTTTTTTCCCCAGGGGAAGTGCTTCATAGTTTTTAGTGTATCCATAAGCACTTTTAAACAGGCTCCTAAATAGTGTAGATACATTAGTTTCTATACTTTCGGTACAATGCACTTGAGTCGAACTTTAGTGAGGGTTCTAGTTAGCAATATATTTATATGCTATAGCTCATGTGGGCTTCTAGGCTCGTAGCAAACCCTGAACTTGGGGCATTCAAAAGTTTGATGAATTAAATCACGTGTGGTCCAGTTTGGATGAATGGATCATTGATCAATATGCAGCTGCCTCTGCCATAGGTTTAAAAGTTATTGATTCGTCCAATCTTAAAAAATCTAGGCCTTTGACAAATTATATGATCTTATTACATAGTGTTTGTCCATTTCCTTTAATCTTATACTTCCTTCCACAATTTGCAAATTACAATACAACTTTTTGACACGCAGAAACACAACTGTATTTAACAATGCTTTCATCTGTCTCCGAAAATTTACAGTACCATAGTGCCTGCAAAATGCTAACAACTTCAAGCTGTTAATTTAAAAGACAAATCTTGTCCATACATGCGATTGAAATATAGAAAAATATTTTTAAAGAAATATAGAAATATTTTAGGTCCATAGTGTCAATGTAGAAATGCTGAATTTGTATCTTTTAAGTTTATTGATTAAAAAAAGTGTCTTGTTTTTTTAACATATGCTAGCTAGTGCATATAATATATTAATAATAACCATTGAGTTATGTCTGCAGGTATATTTGGTATGAATTTAAGATCTTACCTCGAAGAACACGCGGTTTGTAATCTCCAATCTCTAAAGCTATTACTGTGTTCTCATCTAAGGGCAATATAGTGATAATATTGATATGTATGTCTGATTTTCTACTTGCTGACCTCTGTATGCAGTTCGCATTTTGGCTAACAACAGCCGGGATCATTGTTGGTGCTGTTGTTACATTTTTTCTCATGTATAAATATTTGAGAACAAGAAAGATACTGTGAACCCCGATCTTGCGGCGATTTAAGTAAGTTACTACTTCACCACTAAAAATGATTTTATTTATTACGTTATAGAGTTATAGTTCTGTATATCTTTGCAAATCTCAGGTGGAGTGTCATCTGCGGTAACAGACGTATAGCTGGGGGTTCCCAAAAGTTGAGTTTGGGGTGAACCCAAAAATAGTTCATTAATATAATTTTTACAATTGAAATTTGATAGGTAGAAAAATCCTTACACAACATGTTGTGGCTTAGGGTCCGGGTCCCCCACCCCATAGAGGAGCGTAGCGAGAGCTTTTTTAGGGTAGGCCCCGGTACAAAGAGTTTTTCTAACAAATTTTCATGCAATTTTTTATTCATAAGATGTACACTTCAAATTTGGGGGAGCTGTGACCTAGTATCCCCACAATGCCAGTGACACAAGCCAGATATGTGATAATTCCTCACAATGCTTGTTTGGTGACGAAATAAGGAAGGTGAGAAGATTTGGCTGTAAAATGTCAACTACACATCAGGGGCGGGACATAGGCCGGTCTCCTCCCCCCACCCTCAAAGGAACCTTAACTGGAACTGCTAATACAGTTTACGGGTTTCGTAGAACTGATGGTTTGGATCACATCCGGTTCAGTATTATTTTGTAGCCTATTATTTAAAAAAATGGGAACTAAACCTGCTAGCGTTGTCCAATATTACAGGAACTGAACTGGAAAACAGTTGGTTTTTGGTTCTGGTTCAGGATCAGTCCAGAAGCCAGGCTGTTTCCATTCCTATTTCCTACTGCACATAGAGCCAAGATTGGCTATATTTTTCTGTCACCATTAACCATATCAATGATATCATGGATAGAACATGTGCTACCTAACCCAGGCAAACCTAAGTTTTTATTGCAGAAGGTTTTTGAGCTTTGTTTTAAAATGCAGGCTGTTCTTAATGTCTCAATTCACACCCATCAAGTGGAAGGGTATTGTTTGTTTTGGGGGTTGGGTCCAGAGTCCCAGACGCCCGACGTTCTTTGCCGAACGAAACCAATGGCACAAAGAACCCCTGTCAGTGTACACTGTCCTGTTCTGGATAAAAAAAGTTACCAACCATTTCTCATCTCTGCAACACAAAAGAATAAGAGTGCTTCTCAGTTGGATTTTGAGAAGACATAGGAAACCACTACTTTAAAGGGATGGGTGGACGACACCATTGATATCATGCAGATAGTTCTTACGCCCGGTTCGCTTTTACTATCACACACTTAATATGCAAGCTAGTGAACAACTGCTGGAGAACCTATAGAAGTAACAAGCATGGGTAGCATCAAGGACGGAGCCAAGACCCCCCCCCCCCCCCCACCCCCCCCGGGCTAGAAGTAAAATATACGGAGTATATAGGTGAGACTGTCCAAAACAGAGAATAATGTATGCACTTTTAAATACTTTCAATCGTGATAATACCTAAATTCACCATCATACCATTCTTATTTTCAATTTTTTTTTTGTAGAAATTGTTTGTGTGAACTGTTTTTGTGTGTGGAACTTATCTAGTCGGGACAAATTTGTTTAAGAGTGTTATGGTTTTGATTCTATGTTGTTTCGCACTTCCACCCACGTGTACGGTACGGTGTACCATTGGCTAAAGGGGGGTATATCCGCAAAGTACATTGTGGCCTTGTGGGAGCAAAGCAGTGTTCACACTTCACAATCAAGTTGCACCATCCCAAAAGGCATACTAAGAAAAATACATCTTCAGTGATCCCAATATATATTTATATATGATATTCGTCTCTTTTACTCTCAATTCTCTTCGTCTACAAATCATGAAGAATCTAACAACGGAATATGATTTGTTCAAGTTTTTACCATTTATTTTTCAACTCTTGTGATTTACATTCTAAATTAAACCAAGTCCATTGTGTAATAACTTGCAGTATTTATAACAATATATTCACATCAAATAAATAATTTTTGTATCAATAAGCATTATTATATCTATTTACTAGTATATCACACTTGCATATTTAGTACTTGTACTTCGCATATTTTATAAAGCCGTTCACGAACACATAAATTTGATATCAATAAATAATACATTTTTCATTCCATTTTACTTTGTCATAATATATTCTTTGGATTATTCCAAAATAAGTCTCATATTTTTTTGAAAGAAATATGTGATCCACACCATTTTATTTTATTGTATTCAAATTTCAATCACAGTTTTTACTTTTTCAACCACTTTATTCATAATTGTGCTAAATCAAAATAAGACACATAAAATGTCCAGATAGTATTACATTTATACATTTTTTACAAATAGTGTAGTGTACATACTCCCTATTAGTTGTCACGTATTCATTTATGATTTTTTTAATTATCTGTCTTTCTTGAGTAATTTTTCAATAAAAATACATTTATACCATCACTTTATTACACTTATACTCCGTATCTTTTACTCCGTATCTTTTAGTTTTTGCAAACTCTACGTACTTTTTAGTACTTTCTTCTTCTTAAAATGTACGTAGTCCTCATTAAACTAAACAAACAAATTTTATGTCAATAAATAAAACAAACAAATTTTATGTCAATAAATAATACGTAGTAGGAAGTATTAACATTAATAAGATTAACTGTTCTTTTGTGGGCTATTATTTGAAGGTATGTATTAGTTGTAATTATTGGTGTTCTCTTTTTCTAACCAAGTTTTTTTATGCCCGGCGGCGCACTTTGGGCGGGTATCCACGTCAAAGCCTCTCGCACTCCAGCCTGTTTCGTTGTTGTTGTCTGCATGCCTCCAACCTCTAGGAGCACAGCCACCGTCCAGCTCCCAAATCCATATAAAACTAAAAGAGTACGGACGACACATACAAACACGTAGCGGATTTCATGTCTTGTTCTAAATAGCAAAGACTCTTGTAGGGGTGGGCAATTCGGTTTATGGTTCGGTTTTCTTCGGTTTCGATTCAGTTTCGATTTATTTGGGTTGGGAAAATTTGTACCAAACTAAAACCGTTTGTGTTTCGGTTTTGTTTTGGTTCGGTTCGGTTTGAAGTTTGGTTTACCAAAGTGAAAAGTATTAGGTTTAACTTAGTTTGATTTGATTCGTTTTCTTATGTTTATTATAATTTTATTTGATCAAGTTCTTATATTTTAGAATTAGAAAATCAAAGTAGTAGTTCATCTGATCTTCTTTTATTGATTATTTACATAAAATGTAAAAGGAAATAAATGATAGAAAAAGAAATAATAAAATATTGTAAATTGAAACTTCTGACATCTTTTCGATCACTAGAAAAAAATTACTTCTCACAAAAAATAAGATTATAGTTGATTAGCATTTATATTATATATGGAGTATCACATAAAATATTCAAAAAAAAACTAAAGGAGTCGGTGGTACAAATGTTGTAATATTCACAATTTTATTTAAATGAATTATATAAAAAATATAAATGCAATCTGCTGTTTTATCGCCAAACTTAACAAACACAAATATGTCGTATTAGCTAACTTTATCATAATGAATGTATGAAACGTGTAAAAGTTAAAATGATTCGGAGTATATATATGTTAAATACTCCCTCCGGTCCTTAATAAAGTTTACACTTTGACTTCACACATATTAAGGAAATAAATTTGACTTTACTGTAGAATACACCGTTTGGCACTGTTTGACACTGTTTGACACTGTTTTGCACTGTTTGGTGTAGATTTGTTTGCCAAATAAGGCAAATAAGGAAGTGTAAAGTTTAATATGGGACGGCCCAAAAAGGAAAGTGTAAAGTTAATTAAGGACCGGAGGGAGTGTGTCCTATTAGCTAACTTTTTCGATGTTCGATTCGGTTTACGGTTTTTCGGTTTTTAACCAAACCAAACCATTTGGTATGACCAATTTGGAATGTTCTTCTTTTCTGATTACATTTGTTATGTGCTTTGGCAGTTCTTTTTGAGGCACTGACGCTTCTGGTGTTTTATCTCCCTCTATGTGGGGAGTTGTTTGGGTGTCCCGGCCAGCTTTGTTTGATCAAGGGTTTCTGGCTACTTTCTTTTGGGCTCGTGCTCCTCCATAATCGTTTCATGCCAGGAAGAATTTTGTGCAACGACTTTATTTCAAATTTATTTTTATTTTTATTTCGAGTAGGTTTGATTTGGATATTTGGATTTTTGGAATACTGTTGATGATAGGAAGACTTCATTTTCTGGGAATTCCCAGATCAAGAGTCGATTAACTTCTAAATAATAATATGGAGAATTGAAGTAGAATTGGAAGAAGAATAATCAAACAATCAAAATCGTATATTCATAATGATATGGCAAGAATACATGATATACATATGACTTGTTGAGAGAGAAAAACTAAAGTGATTTTCTACCAGAATGATATGTGCAGAAATATTGTGTAACGACTTAGGCCTTGTTTAGCAATCGGCGGTTAGCGGTTGGCGGTTAACAGATTATGTTAGCGGGTTGTAAATAGCGGATTGAGTCAGCGGATTTGACCGGTGAATTAGTTTGGCGGATTTCAGGAAAATGTTTGGTAACTCAGCTGTTTTATTTTAGCGGTTAATAGATAAAAAGACAAAAAAGGACATTAGTCCATTTTTATGTATATGGATAGCCTATACCTATAAAGTCCATATTAATACTATGTATATAAGTTCATGTTATTTGTATGTTGATAAACTAGAAAATGAGTAAATTAAATATAAAAGTATTTATGGCCGTGTAAGTTAATTAAACATATTCAGTAACAAAAAAAACATCTAGAAATTGCAAGCATGAAATTAATTTTCACCTTGATGGGTGACCTCCTAACATTGGTAGAAACTAACAGAACCCATTAGTTTAGTAAGAGGTCCTTCTTTTCCTTTGCATTATTTTTTTCCTCATATTTCAACTTCTAGTGTTTGATCTCAATTGATGCTCCTTTTTATAGCACTTAAATTGTTGTGTTGTTTTGTGCTGAAAATTTATTATTTATTTGTGCTTATACAGAAGAACAAGGGGTTTGAACTTGAGTTTGGTGCTCATTAATACTCCCCGTGTGTCCGTGCTAATTCCTTCGTATAATTGTAGCCTTATAAATATTTAAATAGTTTTTCAGCGAAATTTACATTTTCTTTTGTTGCTTGTTTTTCTCTGTGAAAATGTCTGTTTATAATCAGTATGGTATGACTCCATTTAATGGAAAATCTGATTTTAGCATTTGGAAGCAAAAAATTAAATGTATTTTAATTCAACAAAAATGTTTTAAAGCAGTTGGTGAAACCTATTTAATTTCTGACACAGAAGATAAAAGGGCTGAATTGGTGTTTATATGGTGTGTTCAACTTTGAACCTCCATTAATGGTGGTTTCATGCCGTAAGTTATTTAAAAAGAGGATAAATTAGTCTTTTGATTAATAAAGTGGAAATCGCCATGTAGCGATTTGAGTTTTGGCGGTTTTGATAGAAAAGCCAATGCAATCCGCCATTAACCAAACACCTAAGTTAGAGGTTTGACTACGACAAAACCGCTGAAAATGGTCAAAACCGCTAAAATATAGTTGATCCACCACTATCCAAACACACCCTAAGGAAAGAATTCGAGCATCCTATTACAATTTGAGTTTTGAACCCGTCTATCTTTATTTATAGGAGAGAATTCGAGCATCCTATTACAATTTGGAAGGTAGGCGTTTGGGTCTATTAAATTAAAAAACTCACTTCTCTCTCAATTAAAAAGCTTGCTAATACTAAACTTAATTAACAAAGATAATTACAATTAATTTGAACACAATAAATAATGTTCTAACAGTTTCGATTGTTTTAGGTTTAAATTTGCCCATTTTGTATCTAGCGAATCATGTTACTGTGTATGAGGTCACTAATTTTATGTCTATTCCTAGGGCTTATGATTGGCTCAAGCATAAATGTCTAGAGGTTGTTTGGTCTGATTTCACGTTATTAATATAAAAATCCGCTCTTTTATATTAAAAAAACCAAAGTTTTTTTTTTCATTCTTTCATCGGTCAATATTATAATGAAAATTCTTGTTGTACACACTAAATCCATACACGCTTATAAACGTTGTCTGTAAGGTATTTTTTTGCATGTGAATACATTGTTCACAGACACAAAATACCCCCCCACAAACACACCAGCGTGTATAAGGTGTGTATGGATTTGGGCGTGTACAAATACTCCTTTCGTCACATAAAATTATTCTCAATTAACCAAGTTTTTTGGGGTGTCTGAAAAAAATATTTTAATTTTCCTTTTTAGAAAGTTTTGTGTGGCTAACATTGCTTTATTTTATTCTTATTCAATAACAATCACACATTTTCACTTTGTTGTCACTGTTTGACACTCTGATTCAAGTCAAACCGAGAAGAATTCCATGGGACCGGGGGTAATTTCTTTTAAATTTAGACCATTTGTAGTGCAAAGGAGTATAAAATGTTAAATATGGACTTCGTTCATATGAAAATATTGTTTAGACTCCGTCAATACTGTTTTTCCTTGCATTCCAGCACCGTCAATAAAATAAACTCAATGTTTTTTACATATCAAATTAGTAAATCATTAATTAAATTTTTATAAATAATGTTTTCCTTTTAAT